ATCTGGGGGCTATTCCAATGAATGGCGAAAAATTGAAATTCTGAGGGTCTACTATTTTTGGCATTTAAGTGGAAATTGCTCCCCAATTGTTCGATCTTTAGGTGGAATAACACTGGTGCTTACAGCCAAAGCAAATAAATAAGACACACCCCGTAGGGGGCTGTCAGTTCTCTCGGGAAGAGGAGGCGCTGTCTCTTGGGGCTGCGGGCTAGAGCAGATTCTTTCGTGAAGAGGGAGGAGGATTCTCTCGAAGACTGCGTGGAAGGGGAATATCAGTCGATTTGGCAGGCTATCAATTCTGGCTAAAAATTCCAAGAGTCTCGGGGCTGGCGGATACTTTGCGTTTTAATTGCACTTCTGGTTTTTTTTTTTTGGGTAGTTTCACTTTTTTATTTTTTATTCTGCCGAAAGTCTATAAAAACCAAACACACACAGACACACCCACGCATCGATCGGGCATGCATCAAATTTGTCTAAGGGGAAATTACCGCCGATTCATAGGCCAAATATTTGACCCAAACGATTTGATGTGAGTATTTTTAGATTCAAGCGTTTTGTAAGCGGTTTTCTAGCGTTTTATTGCGGCGCGTTTAGAGTGCGTTTTTCGTACGTTTTGGCTGCGTTTGCTGGCGTTTACTGTGCGTTTTGTGTGCGTTTTACAGGCGACCGTTTCTCGACATGTTCTGCGCATTAAGATGGCGTTTTGCATACGATTTGTCTGCGTTTCCCTTGTGTGCTTTTAATATCGTGCGTTTGTGGGATTTTCTTGTGATTTTAGCTATGACGTCGATTGGGGGATTGAGAGTTTTATTTGCTTAATTATGATTATGATTTTTGTTTTCTCTGCTGTTTCTGATATATCAAGGCAATTGTTCAGAAATGTTTTTCAGCATAATACAATGTGCAGATCGTAATTGAATGGAATTTTTGCACAGAGTTTACAAAACGAAACAGAAAAATTCCAGGTTTCATCGCGTGTTTGTTTTTTTTATATTTTGTTATTCAGTGTTGGATCTATTTTTAGGATCAGGCCGCCAAAAGTTCAATTGACTTCAAAAATTGAACTTGTTTTTGTTTTCTTTATGCGGAGGGAGGGGGCGATTGTTTTTGTGGGTTTTTGTTGATTCTGATGGATCTGATCCGATGGGGTGGTCTGGAGTGTGTGGTTTGTGGCAGAGATGTGTGTGCCTGATATTTTAGACATACACAAATTCAGGTCTGGGTCGTCGTTCCGGTAAGGTAAATAATGTGCGTTTATTAATAGCTTTCGCGACTTTTGCAGCGTACGTTTGCTGCTGATCGGAATGAACTGCGCTCGGCGACTGACTCAGTGTTTGTGAGCACGGTCTCAATGCTTAACTCGTTGTTAACTTGGCTCTTGGTGAATGCCAACAACAACAGCTACATTACGAAGCAGCTGAAACAGCGCCTGAGCAGCAGAAGCAGCTGTCTCTCCATCGGCAAAAGGGAGAACCCCAAGCGAAAGACAGAGACAGAGAGCGCGTGCGCGCGTTTTTGATCGCCACTTGGCACTGTCACTGGCACAGGGGCGGTTTACAAAAGCGGTTTCCACTGCTTTCGCTCTGTTCTATAATGTTGTTGTTGTGTGATCCATTAGTCATTTATTCACTTGGCAGCAGCAGCAGGGTGGAAACCGATACGCAGAGTCAGGTCAGGTGTTTCGCTCCCCCCCTCTCTCTGAATGCACTTGCCACCGATGGTTGTGGCGCAATATTTTAACACTGAAAATGCAGGCAATTTTATGTATAAATATACCCTGCACATAGAAGTAGTATTCGCTATGATGAGTCACTCGAAATTATTGCTAGAGAGGAGTTTTTATTTACTTTTAGAACAATTATACATCGATTCTAGGTTTTTTCTGCAGTTAAAATCCTGAATTAACCAAGGCGTGGATTATGCCCCAGTATCCGTCTATGTTTCTTGTCTGGTTTCTGGGTTTTTTCTGCCCAACTTTCCAACAACTGCTTTGGCCATTTCATCAATTGGCAGGTTACGCGCCTGGATCGGAGACCAAGGTGTTTATTATTAGCAAAAAAAAAAGCGTCTGACGTACTTTGGCCAGCTTCAGCTTTAAGTTCATTTTATTTCATTCATTCATTCATTCCATTCTGCTCTGCTATGGCCATAAAACATCACCAAGTAGTTGTTTGTCTTTGCTACACTTTAAGAATTTTAAAAATAAATAATAATTGTTTTCTTTTTGGCTGATAAGAATTTATGTTATCAAAAATAGAATGACTCTTGGGCTTAGGGATAGCCTGTGACAATGACTAAACAAATATTAGAGTGTGCTGCTCGTATCTGATAGATACAGTGCTTGTCATACGAGTATCTATTGCAGATATTTACGAAGTCAGTGGTTGATATTTGGTATTCGGAGGTCTCCTAATTCCCACAGCGTCAGCTGGCAAATACGTTATGGAATACGTAATGTTATTTCGGTTTCTTTGGTAATGGTAATCGAAGGCACTGACAGAGGCCACGGCGTCTGCGCGCTGTGGCTTACTGTTCTAGAAACACGATTCAACCTGCCAGATACATGTAGATAGAAACTTAATTCAAAGGTAGGTTCACTTCCCATGACGTTACCCCTAGATTCCACTGAAGCGCAGATCAGGAAGGAAGCAAAGTAACGTTCACTTGAGGCAACGTTCCCTCCCTGCTAAAATTCTTCTCATTCCCTTTCTTGGTGGCAGCACGAGGGTTGTTTGCTTCCTTCCATTGCACCTGTGACGGCATGTGCCACAGAGTGTGGTTCCTATCGTACAGGTTACCGCCAAAATGCCGACAGACAAAGAGTCAACCTGTTGGAACAGCCGGACCTAGAGACCAGATCGCTATCTCTCTTGGATTGCGTGCCAAAGAATGATACGAGGGGGAAGGGGATTGACAATTATGAGAAAAATTTAATTCTGACAACACTCGTGACTTTTAAGAGTCACCAATTATTCCATTGCTATGGTCATTTACGCATAAAAACTAGCATTTTAAGCCAAAATGAGAGGTGGAATTCTAAGCACTCTGCTCCCTAAGGTCAAGGTATTAGAATTGAGTAAATATTATATAAAAGTGGTAAAATTGTATCTATGATTTTGATTGAGAATGTTTCTATACCACTGTTTTATCTAGAACAGTCAATAATACAAGTATAAGTTCTAAGAACGTGCTTAGGCACGAGTAAACAGAGAATCTACTCAACCTACATTGCATTCTTTATTCATTATTTGTTTTTCTCTAATTATATTTGTTTCCAAGTAAACAGTTTTCGGGTGAGTTGTAGGATACGCATCAAAATTGATAAAGGGGTGAGACGACACAGGCAAAGTCATAAAAGTAAGCAAAGTGTGACGAGAACTCCATTAGTAGTTCTTCCCAAAATAGGAGTTGAAGTCACCTAATTTAAGGGTTTAATAAGAAATCTTTCGAGAGATCAAACGAAAACCAAACGTTTGATACAGTTTTTCTGTTGAGACATCAGTCATGAGACGGAGATCTTAAGAGGTCTCTGGCCCTATTTACTATACATTTATGTATGTACATAATATACCATATATCATTTCGATGTGTGCTTACCGCATTCTCCTCCGAGTACAGGCCGCAAACGAGTTCTCGAAATGACATTTTGCATTGAGCTGCTTTTTGTTTTGTTTCTTGTATTGCTTAAACAATTGAACTTGCAATTTGTACACTTTTTTTTTTGCCGTTTTTGTCTTGTTTATAATTTATGTACTTTTATATTCAAAGGCACTTATGGTATGACGCTGACTGTTCCGTTCGATTCTGGGCGGACTCCTTGAACTTGCACTGAACTTTTTATGGCACAACTTTTCAGGTGTGCAAATTTATTTATTTTTAATAGTAAGACAAAATATAAAATAAAATAAATAATCGAATAATCATCGAAATTGTAAACCGAACGACACGGTGGGGGCACAGCGAAAGTGAAAATGAAACAGAAAAATCGCGTGGTGTTGTCAAATCAGAAATCAAACTAAAATTGCGAATCAAACAGACACACACACACTTTATTGTACAGTACACCCCACGTAAGCGCTATCTGCGGGAGCGAGGGAGAATGGGAGAGGGAGAGAGGTGTGTGTGTGTGCGAGCGTGCTGGCGAAACGAAAAGGTCAGCACCATACGTCGACGCCGTTAATTGCTTTAGATTGAATTAAGCTCGACGTTCCGTCCCATTCCATATCATTCCCTTTCCCATCCCATCCCATCCCAGTCCGCGGCACATTCTCCTCTCTCTGTCTGTCTCCCCCGGCGTGATCTACGCGCGCCTCTGACGTCACCGGGAGCAGAAATTATTTTTAGCAACAAAAATTAACAACAAACGTACGCGATTTCCGCTCCTTATCACACATCGAAAAATGACGCGTTGCTCCCTCCACGTACCATAAGAGCAAACAATCGAAGCGAAGTCACAGCCACAGCTACAGCGTAGTAACCACTATAAATTATTGGCTATAAATTCCGAACTTTCGGCTATAGAGCTTGCATATTGAACAATGAGAGCTCGCTGCCCATTGCAGCCATTGGCAAAGCGGTCACTGCGACTACTGAAAACCCGGCAGACACTATAAAAGCGCTGACAAAGGAAATATTACTGTGGCACTAACGCCAGAATCGACACTGATTGTACGAGTACTCGGTATGGGTGTGTATACACGAAGTGTATGTGTGTGCTGATGGGAGAGTTCTGGCCGCTTATCTTTGTGGGCCCAGAGAGTGAAGCGGAGCGATAAGCTTCGGGGAGGCGAAGAAGCTCTCAGGTAACAGTTATCGGAGCTCCAGCGTCCAGGTAAACATTTTTGTTGTATTGCCCACAGGGACGTACAGAGAAATACGAGGTTGAAAATAGCGGCCCAAAAAGAGGGCGTATTATTTAAACAATTTCCCGCCGATTAAAGAGGGCCACAGTTCTAAGTAGAACCTCAGTTCAGAAAAAATCATAAAAATACTCCACTCACCCCCAAATCTGGTTCACTGTTGGTAGCTTCTAGTAGGCACTGTGTGGACGAGGATGCGGACAAACTCTGCCGATCCTTGGGGGTTTTGTGTAGATTCTGTAGGCTGGCCCATGTGTCCATGGGTGGCTCGATGCAGGCCACGCTAGCCGACGACTGAATGCTGTCAATGGCCTCGAATCCCAGGGAGTGACGGGAGCCCGGCTGGCCAAAGACCTGCACACTCAGTTTGTGCGGTGTTGTGGGTGCAGGCTCCAGGGCCAGCGAGCGGCGTGGCTTGCGCGGCACACACGAGGGATGGACAAACATGTGTGGCTGCTCGTCCAACGATGGGGCAGTGGAGTGCAGGGATATGTCATCCATGGAGGCAACACCAGCCAGACCACGCGGCGAATCGTCCACAAATAGGTTGAGAACATCGTCACAAGAGCGCGTGGATGTGAGATTCGTTGCCGGGCTCTTGATGAGATTGAAGCTGGCCAAGAGATTCGGACGACGCAGCGAGGCGCTGTCCGAGGGTGACATTTGATGAGCAGCCGGGTCGGGCATGGCCCGGACTGTCAACCGATTGTCGGCCATGCCCACAATCCCCTGTGGACGGGATGGGGCCGGATGGGATGGTGCTGCTGGTGGATGGACTGCGGCCGCTGCTCCAGCCCCAAGGAAATCCACGACCAAAATGCGATCGGAAATATTTGTGCAGTCGTTGTTGAAGCCAATGCCCGAGTCCGAGTTGGAGGTGGTTGTGGAAATCTCGCTGTGGTTCGACGGCTGCGGAGAGTGGGCGGCGGCACCGGCAACCGCAGCTCCTGCAGCAGCCTCATACTCCGGCTGATGGCTGCGACTGGCCGGTGGCAGGATGCGCATGGTGTACATGCTGCGAATGAGATTCACCACGTACTCCGAGTTGTTGGGAAACTCCAGGCACAGATTTGATATGGGATCCCTGGTGCACTGCAGCCGAAACTCGTGCGCTCGCTGCAGATGCTGTCCGTGATCAATCAGCTTCGTGTCGATCACAAACACATGACAGCTGTGCGAGATGCTGATGTGTTGGCCGCCGCTGCCAGCATTTGGCTCGTACTCCTCCTCGATTTGGGTATTGTGAACGGCGCTCGTGACCAGGCCAAAGAAACGATTCTCGCTCTCCGACGAGGAGCTCACGTAGTTCAGCCGTGACGAGGCATAGGTGGCCAGCACTCCACAGTTGGCGCTCTGCAGCGTGAGGCTGTCGGGTGTGATGCACATGAGCACTATGGTGGGCTGACGCTTCTCCTGCCGCAGCTTGCGAATGCAGGAGCGCACTGTCTGCAGCTTGGAGCTGTGGGAGATTTGCTTGGGCATTTCGATGGTGCCCAAATAGCCCACAATCACGCGATACTCCAGCGCCGCACTGCCCACGGCCCGCACCATGGCACTCACATTGGCCACATCCGGCGATTTGCCAGCGAGATTCGCTAGCGGGGCATCCTCCAGAACGGGCCGCAGCGTTGAGTGATCTGTGGGCGGTGCTGGCTTCGGCTTTGGCTTTGGTTCCACCGCATCCGGCGGAAGCTTCTTGTGTGGCGAATTGCGCAGTCGATGCATCTTCGATTTGTGATGCAGGAAACGCGGCTTGTGGCGCAAACTGGCGGCCAGCAGCTGGCCTCTAGCACTGCGCTGCATTTGCAGCGTGGCATTGGCGTTCTCCTCGTCCGAGCTGTCCGAATAGTAGTTCTCGGCTATCTGCATGCGTATGCTGCCAAAGGAGTTGCCGATCAACTGGACCACCGTCTCGTGCGGCAGCTTCGACACGTTCAGGCCGTTGACCGAGATGAGGAAGTCGCCAGATCGTAGGCCGGCCTGCTCGGCGGGCGAGCTGCTGATGATGCACGACAGACGACATGGCTGCTGTCCCGATATGGTGAATCCGAAGCCATTGTAGCCTCGTCGCACCTCCACGGTGCGGGTTCCATTGTAGTTGTAATTGGGGCGCTTTTTACGCCGCCGCTGCTGTTGTTGTTGCTGCTGCTGCTGGACGTTCGAGGTGGATGCCGCCGCGGTCGAGCCAGATGCCACGACTGGCGATGCTGATGGATTGCCTGTCGCTGGCGCTGCCACTGCTGCCACAGTCGCAGTGCCCGTTATGGGCAATGGCGGATGGTGGTGATGCATTGCGGGTCACTGAAAAACGGTAACAAAGTGGTAGATCGTGGCACACATCTTCAGAACTGCTGCGACTGGTGCTCCATTCTCTAAACGCACCTTTTTCATTGATGCTGGTTTCGTCGTGTCCGCTCTCTGGAATGCGGTTTGTTGCTGCCCCTTTTTGGTAATAGCAGAAGATGTGCGCTCTCGCTCGCTCTCCTGCGCTCGCGCTATGTAATCAAATAGCAGCAACAACTACAATACATACACGGAGGAAGTGGAAGTGGCTGGCCAGGCGAATCTTGTTACACTTTTTCCAGTGTTTAGCTGCTCGATTGAATGCCCAGACACAAGCATTATCACATTTTCACACTGTTAATAAATGCTGGCTGGCATTATTGAGCGTTATTAAGGCCATTTAAATGGATAAAAACAAATTTGAAAGACGCCTGTAACGCGCAAGCGTAGCGACTATAAAATTAGGTACGACAAATCATCGATATAAATGTCAATCGAAATCGACAAACTCAGATGTTTGTCAACTATCGACAACTCGCTCATCGCTATTGCAATGCAGTGTTGCATAGCACCCTAAGCGCAGCGTTGTTGTGAAATACATTTGAAACAAAAGTTGTACTAAAATTAATTTACGACAATTCGCTTTCGTTTAAAAATGAGTTCTCCGAACAGAAATGAGCTCGCAAGCATCGATGACATTGCGGAAGAAGGTTTGAACGCCGAGCCATCAACTACAGAGCAGGAGACACCTAAAAGGAAGCTGTCCTCAGAAGGCGCCAAAGATGACGACGAAACTGACGATGAAAGCAGCCCGAAGAAGCGCATAAAGTCCGAGGACGACATAAAAGTCAAAGAAGAACCAAGCGATGATGAGGCAATGCCTGTGCCTATAAAAACAGAGGCCGAGACCAGCGCGCCTAACGCTGTCAAGATAAAAGCTGAGCCAGCGGATGGGGATGATGGAGTGCCAGCCGCTGCTAGTACAAGTGGCAGCTGCTCTGTTAGAGTAGAACCTGCCAACAGTGGGAGCACCCCCGCAGCGGTGGTGGTTAAAACGGAGCCTGCCACCAGCAACGGGCAACCGGATAATGATGCACCAGTTGTGTCCTCCAGCAGCACTCGTATTTCATGCCGTTTCGGCATTCGCTGCTACAGGTAAATCGTTATAAAAGATTCCAAATGGATCCAAGTTGAAGCATTCTCTCTGCGTAGACGGAATCCAGCCCATCGCAATGCTGAAGCTCATCCGGGCGATACAGACTATACGCGGCCCAATTTTCCAGCCCCACCTCTGGGTACACCGCCCTGTCCTTTTGGAAATTTATGCTACCGTCGCAATCCTGTGCATTTCCAACAGCTGGCGCATCCAGCAGATTGTAAGTGAGATGCAGAATTAACTAAAGATCCAGCGGAAATAAAGTGCAGTCTAGTTAATTCCGCTCAGAACATAAGGAACCGTTTGCGCCAGCGGCAGACACGGGTGCAGCAGGCGGGAGCGACTGAAGATAGCGACGAAGAAGAGGAGGATCCATTTGGAGGAGACAATGACGACGATCTCGAATATAAGCCAGGCGCAGACATCGACGAAGATGAAGACGAGGAGGATGAGCTGGAGTTTGATAGCCAGCGCATCCTTGCTGACGACTACGATTAGCAGTATTGAATGAATGTATTGATTAATGTACAAAATGTTATAGTACATTATAGCAAGCCGTTGAGTAATAATAATAAATTTAAGTCTATAGATTAAAGAAATTTTCATTAGTAGAATCCCTCGTCGACATCCTCCGCAGGCTTTTGGTCGAAATTCGAGCCCCAAACGGCTGCCTCGCCACCACGCACTTTAACATTGTAGCAGACATTCTCTGCCTTAAGGACGCTCTGTCTCATTGTGGTTATCTTTCGCCACAACTCCCGAGCGCGTTGCAAGTTCAGGCTGATGTAACTGTGAAATAATTAACCATGGTTTGATATTTAAATTGCTCTTCTCTGCTTGTGCCTGGCTTACCCTGTGTAAAACATCTGCAAAGTGCTACAGGTCTCCATGCAGGTATCTGTGTCGCCGCTGCCCAGAGAATTGATGCATCGCCGCATAAGTTCCCCGGTTAGATCGGATAATCCCAGCACGTACTCTGTGGGATCGATGAAGAACTGAAACTTCTTAGGCAGCTCCTCTTCAGCAGCGTCAGTCTCCTCGACCGAAGCTCCCTCGTCTTTGGCTTTGCTGGGATTCTCCACGTATTGCATCACAGACTGCAAAGCCTGCCAGTCGGACACACTCTTGGGTGGCTCGTCGTTGTCCTCGCGAGATAAATACTCCATGTAGGTGTATGCCTCGATGAATTCCTGAAGGCCAGCGGAGTAGGCGTTGCGGTACTGATAAACATCCTGGTCGCGCAGCTCCAGCGCAATGGACCGAAAATTGACCTCAATCAGTTTGTTGAGACGCTGTTGGGCCTCCTCCAAAATCTTCTCCTTGTTTTGTTTACGCGAATCGATCGAATGCAAGGTGAATATAATGCGCTTGGACTCGATGGTGATGTCGCGGCTCAGCTTCACAATGCGCTCATGACGGTCATGTTTCGTGGTCAATTCAGTCGAATAATTACGAAATGCCTGAACTATTGGATTGTCTTCATCCACGGCGACCTGGGGCTGACGCTTCTTATGAGCATTGTTGCGGTGGCTACCTCCTCCTTGCTTCGACATAGTTGTTTGAGATTTAAATTTGTGAAAACCGGCAAAATTTCTCAAGAAAAACACATAAATAATGCTAGCGATGTGCTCAAACCGATTGGTTTTCTATCGGATGCATGTCATCTCTAGTATCCAGGGCTGCACTGGTCGTATGTTCGTGGCAGTAAATAAATCCAAATTAGTTAATTTTAGACAAAAAATATGCATGAGCCGGCCCAGAAGTCTGTTCACCTGGCACCCGCAGCCAGCAGCACAGCGGAGAAACTTTGCTTCGACAAAAATGAGTTCATGAAGGTGTGTTATTGCCATTTGCTTTGTGCCTCTCCTACTAAGATTATTTCGAGTAGGAAAATTTCTCCGTGGACGAATTCCTGCACAAGAACCGCAATGCTCCCAGCTTGGAGCAGCTGCGGGACAACCTGGGCCTGTATTTAAAGGGACTGCGATCAGCCATGATCGATCTAATCAACGAGGACTATGCGGACTTTGTGAATCTGAGTGCGAATTTGGTGGGGCTTGACCAATCCATCGAGACGATTCAGAGGCCCCTGGAGCAGTTTCGCAGCGACATCGAGAGCATTCACAGTTTGATTGACGAGAATGTGACAGAGCTGCGGGTCCAGCTCGAGGAGAAACGGAAGTTGCGCGAGGCCAAGCGAAGTCTGCAGAGCCTGAAGAAGGTATATGAGACAACCTGCAAGCTGCAGGACCTAATCACCCGCAAACTGGAGGGTGATCAGCCCGCACAGGCTGTTGATCTGGAACGTGCTGCTCTGGATCTCATTCAGCTGAAGTTTCACGAGAAACATTGTGCCGAGCACCTTAGTGCCGAGCAACAGACGAAAATCCAGCAACTGGAGAAGCAACTGCATCAGCATTTGCGTCGTTTCTTCAACGATGCACTGGGGGAGGCACGAAACTCGGCATCAGAGCATCTGGAGCGTTGCCTGCGCATCTACATAACCCTCAATGCCTGTGATCAGGCAGAGTGTGCCTTTCGCGAGGATGTCGTGGCGCCGTACATGAACGGAATCATTGGCGAGCAGCAACTGCAGAACTCGCCCCAGGGACTGGCTGGCATCTACAGCAAGATACTGAACTTTATATCGCTGTACATGACCGACTTGCTGCGTCTCACGCTCTACTCGGACAAGCTGACGGGCTTCAATTTTGTGGTGAACAGCTATTGGTCGGACGTGGAGCAGCGACTGGAGAATCACATGAACTCCATATTCGCACCGGGTAATTCGGAAGTATTTTACATAAAATACAAGTGCACGCGGGATTTCCTGGGCAAAATAGAGGAGCTGCTGGCCAGCAGCGGCGAGCAGGCAGTCTCCAGCTATCGTCAGCACAAGCAAACGAAGAGCTTCGAGGCGCGTTGGAATCTGCCCGTTTACTTTCAAATATGCTTTCAGGTACGCCTATTTAATGCCTCTCCGCTTGTGAAATTAATTAACCTCCCATTCCATAGGAAATTGCTGGGCAATTCGAAGCCAAACTGGAGCCCGTTCTACAGGATTCTACACTGAACGCAAAGCCCAATGGAAATGCCTACCAATTGTCGCCATTTAATGCCGCGAAGGAGGCTGTGGCACGCTGCTGGGCCGAAGGTGTCTACCTGCCCGAAGTATTTCCCAAATTCTACAAATTAAACGTGCAAATTGTATTGCGGCTCTCCCGCTGGATTACCGATGCCATTGCCGTATCAAAGTCCAGCAGCTTTGCCAAGTCCTACACTCGACATCAATTGCTGATTGCCCTGCACGCGGACATACGCAAATTGGATTTATATTTGCCAGAACTGCAGCAGCTTATACTCCAGTCCGTGCCGCTGCAGCAGCGCACGAAATTGTTCAACGATGCAATTGGCCAGTCCATAGCCTCCCTGGCCGATACTCTGGGTGCTCATTTATCCAGCATACAGAAGACTTTGGTGGAGTTGTTGATTGGCGAATGCGAGACGGAGAATGTGCGTCAGGTGAATGATTTGCCGCGTTTGTATCGCAAAACCAATCGAGAGGTGCCTTCGCGCTGCTCAGGCTATGTCGAGCAAATGCTGCGACCCCTGAAGGCCTTTGCCACACAACACGAAGCCCAGTTGGGTGCTCTGGTGGTGGAGCAGATCCTCTCAGAGGTAGCCAGCCACATCACCAAATCGTAAGTCGTGATTTAAGCATCTCCACGAATGACTCTTTTAATTTGAATGTTTCTCCACCTTTTGTAGCTACTTTACTGTCGTGAGTGATGTCCTAACATCTGTGCAGAAAACAGAAGAATCCCTGCGTCGTCTGCGTAACGTCAAAAGCGGTGGTTCTGCAACGCTGGCGACTGCTGGCAGCTCCGCTGTGATGTCGGACGATGATAAGATACGCCTACAGTTGCGTGTGGATGTCACCACCTGGCAGCAGGAGCTCTCCAAATTGAATTTCCAGCCAACGCAGATTGATCAACTGCCGCAGCTCAAAGATATGGTGGAGGACAGCATAAAGCTAAAGGAGGGACAGGCGTAGAGGCAGAGGCTGGCCATTAACGAATATATATACTTCACTTTTATTATTGTTAAACGATTTCTAATGGTTCTTTAGGCACAATTAGTGTTTCAGTTAAGGCTACGAATTGTATATATAATATATAGGTATAGCTATATTATATATAAACATATATGTATATCATATATAGTATTAAATGCATTATACTTCACATTTCGTTTCGGTTCGTTAGGAGAATGCAAAGGCGAATAGATAAATCCCTTCCAGTTGATTATTTGCTGTTGGAATGATAAAGAGAAAAAAAACAGAGATTGCAGAATATATTCCATAATTAAGCAGCCAAAAAGCGGCTGCATAAAACTTGAACTTGTCTAACGAAAATATTGCAAAAATCGGCAGGCAAAAGGTTGGTATGCATGCAATCAGGCACTGCGCTTAAGTAAATGTGCATAAAGAATAATTTGAGCGTCGGAAGAAAAACATAACAGGGGGTTAGCAGGCTCAAAAATCAAACAAAAAAGATAAACGCTCAGAGGCAGGAGTTACAGTTTAAGCTCCTCGGTGTCGGGCAGCTTGCGGAAGAACCATTGCACATGCTCTTCGGTAACCTCCGACAACTGTGCTGGCTGCCACCTAGGCTGCTGATCCTTGTCAATGAGCAGAGCGCGCACACCCTCCTTGAAGTCGGCCCGATCCTCCAGGTGGCGCACGGCCAGCCGATACTCCATAATGAGGCACTGGGTAAGGGACAGCTGGGAGCCGAGCTCCAGCTGGCGATACGTGACTTTCATCGATGTGGGGGACATCTTGCATAGTGTCTAAAATAGAATAGAAGTTCGAGCGTTAATCAAGTGCTAATTTATGTGAGGTCGTTGCTAATTGGCTGGGAATACTCGTACTTCTAAATGTTTATGCGCTAAAAGCGGGACGAGGGTCGATTTTCCCATCCAATTAACAGGTGTGATGTGTGTACTTACCGCCAGCGTCTTCTTGGCCCAATCGCTGCCATCGTTCTCCAGATTCTCTAGGATTCCCTCCACCGAATCCGCTGCAAAGTTCTTGTTGATCTGCTTCAGCACTGGTTGCAGCGAAAACGGCTTCTCCGGCTGTGTGTGGAAGTTTTCCAGCAACTCTGGGACATCATCCGCATCGGGGCAGTTGAGCAGCGCCGTCTCGAGTTCGGGAATCTTGCTGCTGTCGCAATAGTGGGTGGCAATGCCCGCGTAGTAGGCATCCGCACCGCGTAGGCGGTAGCCCGTCAGTCCCAGATACAATCCGAGTTTGCCCTGCAGGCGGGGCAGAAAGTATGAGCCGCCGACATCGGGAAACAGGCCTATGGCCGTTTCGGGCATGGCAAACATTGTCCGGTCTGTGGCCACACGATACTTTCCATGTACACTCAGACCCACGCCACCGCCCATGGTGATGCCGTCAATGATGGCGATGTAGGGTATCTTGTAGTTGCCGATCAGCGCATTCGTGGTGTACTCCTCACGGAAGAAGCTCTTCGACTCGTCCGTGGGCCCAGCCTCCACCAGGGCACGCACATCGCCGCCCGCACAGAAGGCCTTGTCGCCAGTACCTTTGATGATCAGCAGGGACTTTGACTTTTCACACTTTTTCAAATGCTTGTAGATCTTGCGCACCATCTCCAGATTGATGGCATTCAAGGCCTTGGGACGGTTCAGAATAATCATGCCCTTGTTGGAGGACTCCGTGGCCAGCACGGAGGAGGAGGACTGCCGTGTCGACTGCTGGGCCATCATCGGTTGGACTTTTGTTGCTGTCACTACTGCTGATCCGCCGATGAGCGGCAATTGGCTGTAGGTGCGTTGACCGAACGTGTAGACCAACCTTTGAATTGGATTTTGCTGTGCGCGCGCGCGCGTATAACTTTCCGTTTATTTATATGCGTTTTATTTTGCAATTTACATTACTTACCATTTTTACGTGTGTTTTGGTTCTCTTTCCGTCGGTGTCCCAAGTTCAATTTGAGTTTTGAGTTGCGCAATACGCGAAAAGCTCCAGTCTACACAGCTGTTTGGGGCTCGTTTGAAGAGGTGTGGCCAGACCGCCACTAGCACGGAAGTTAATGATCAGTGCTGCCAGGTGAGTTTTACCTATATTTTATAAGAATTAATTTATAATAATATATAAAATTATGTAAATAAATAGATAATTAATATTTAATTTAACTGTCTTAATATTTTCGGATGGCCTTTTTGTCCCGGGCAGGGCGAAGGAAAAGGATCCAGTGGGCGCCATGCCGTTTGAGATCGTGGAGATCGGGGATCGCCCATTGGAAAGGACTCACTTGTATGGTATCGGACTCCCTGGGTCTTCCCGCCCTTCTGGCAGCACTGTTTAATATATTTGTTGGTATATTACGGTATTTTATACTTGTCAAAATGTGTAGTTGCCATGTAAAAAGTTATATTTTGTTTCGTTAATGTATGACCCTTCCTAATTAAACCCTTTTTTATAAATAATCAAATAAAAATGAATAGCTGAAAATTGGCAAATCTTGCAGCAAATATATTAATTTTTCGTATAAAATTATAAGATTAGTGCTGAAGGCTCTAGTTAGCTGCTAACTCCAAGCCGAATATCAAAATCGAGGAATATGAACCTAATGAAAATGAAGGCCCTTGGAAAATTAAAAATGAGTTCTTAAAATTAGCCAATTATTTGGACGTTGGATGTGCACTTGCAGTGATAACTGCAGCCATTAAGTGGTCCATGCGAAAACAACCCGAAGCCTGTTACGCGCGAATCCCACACAGAAACGCAGCCAATCCACGCTATCTCACAGTACATTGTTATCGCTGAATCGAATGAATTTCTTATAAGCAAAACAAGAAGCAATTTTCGTGTGTAGTTTACCTTTATCTTTATCTGTCAACAAATAAACGGTGAGTAAACATTTGTAATTAGCACGCCCGGACGCCAGGCCGTTCAGTACAGCCAGGGCCAGCAAGTGGCTCGCATTGCCATTGCCATGCCCCAGTTCTTTAAGTTTTCGAAACTGCGATCAAAGCGACGTAGTACATCCAATTCTGATTTTGTTTTCATATCGCCCCCTTCGCCGACTGGGCCGCAGATGAACTATGACGGCCTGCTGTCCAAGTTGACGGAGGACAAGCTGATGCTCTTCGATGCCGGAGAGGGGGCCATTGTCGAGGGCGGACGTTGTACCCAGGATGTGCAGCAGTCGCTGCCACTTGTGGAGGATGGCGCCATCGAGGAAGAGCAGGCAGCGCCGATACAAACGATTCCACGTACCGTGTTTGCCGTACCCCGTGCCCCATCGCCTTCCCCCGTAAGCACATCGAGTGCGAATTTGAACCTCAAAGCCGAAAGTGCTGCGACAGCGACACCACAGCGTAAAATATCGACGTCATCACGTTTCATGAATGCCTTCAGTCAGCTATATAGCGGGGGCAGCGGCGGCAACAGCTCCACCTGCGGTCACGTGGAGCAGCAGAGCCAGCAGCACCATCAGGGCGAAGACCCCGACCTGGCCGCCAATCGTACGCCAACGAAGGGCATGGAGTCCAAACTGGTGGCCATGTGGCATAACGTCAAGTACGGTTGGAGTGGAAAGATTAGGCAAACGAGCTTCTCCAAGGAGCAGCCAGTGTGGCTCCTGGGACGTTGCTATCATCGACGGTTCACGCCCCCCGTCAGCATGGAGAGCTCGACCACGGAGTTGCCGCTGCCCAGCGGGGCAGATTCAACGCCCGACCATGCCACATCCGCCTTTGATAGCATACAAGCCACCTCGACAACCGCCTCGTCCCTGTATGCCGCACTGAATCCGCAGCAAATCGATGAGATTGTTGTGCCCCAGGAGCTGGGCATGGATGCGGTCGAGAATCAGGTGGGAGAACAGCCCTGGGAGGAGGGCATAGAGGGCTTTCGTCGCGATTTTTACAGTCGCGTTTGGATGACATATCGCCGGGAGTTCCCCATCATGAATGGCTCCAACTACACCTCGGACTGTGGCTGGGGCTGCATGCTACGCAGCGGCCAAATGCTGTTGGCTCAGGGTCTCATCTGTCACTTTTTGGGACGCAGTAAGTGCGATTGGAACTCATTTCTAAATGCATTTTAAAACCTTTCTTGTATGTGCAGGTTGGCGCTATGATTCGGACTCGCAGCTGCATTCGACATACGAGGATAATATGCATAAGAAGATCATCAAATGGTTCGGGGATAGCTCCTCAAAAAGCAGCCCCTTTTCCATACACGCGCTGGTGCGACTGGGCGAAACGTTGGGCAAGAAGCCAGGCGACTGGTATGGTCCTGCCTCCGTCTCCTACTTGTTAAAGTGAGTGCAGTGCAGTGCCATACATCGAATCATAACATTTATGGCAAGATTTTTGTACTTAATTATAGACACGCCTTGGAACATGCCGCTCAGGAGAATGCAGACTTTGACAATATCAGTGTTTACGTGGCCAAGGATTGCACCAGTAAGTATAGAACGGGGTAGCAAAATTTAAAGCTAAACAGATAGCTGCTGCCATGGACAAATAGATATGGAATACCCAGCCACGACCCGCCATTCAAGTGACTAATTATCATTACTCATGAAGGGGGGCTGCCTGCCTGCCTGCCAGATAGCGTCACATTTATTTGATAAGCGTATCTATCTATCTGCCTTTCAGTCTATATGCAAGACATTGAGGATCAGTGCAGCATACCGGAGCCAGCCCCCAAACCGCATGTGCCTTGGCAACAAACAAAGCGACCGCAAACTGAGGCGGCAGCCAAGCAGGAGCCACAGCAACAGCACTGGAAATCTCTGATTGTACTAGTACCCTTGCGTTTGGGCAGCGACAAACTGAATCCTGTGTACGCTCACTGCCTGAAGCTGCTGCTGAGCACCGAGCACTGTCTGGGCATCATTGGAGGCAAGCCCAAGCATTCGCTGTACTTTGTGGGTTTCCAGGAGGACAGACTGATCCACTTGGATCCGCACTACTGCCAGGAGATGGTGGATGTCAATCAGGAGCACTTCTCGCTGCATTCCTTCCACTGCAAATCGGCGCGCAAGCTAAAGGTCAGCAAAATGGATCCCAGCTGCTGCATTGGCTTCTACTGTGCCACCAAAACGGATTTTGACAGCTTCATGGAGAGCGTACAATTGGTGAGCATTCCGAAGCACTATCCAAAAAGATCCTATAATAAATATTTGTACGCTTTTTGTAGTATCTGCATCCCATGCGCTGTGCCTCGGGTGCCACTGTGGACAAGATGACGGGCAGCCAGCAACAGGCGGCGGAACAGTCCATGGAAATGAATTATCCACTATTTTCATTCTCACGCGGTCGCTGCTTGGATCATGAACGCGACGAGATGAGCGATTCACTATACAAGCCGCTCATCAAGCAGGTGGCAGTGCTCACACAGGAGCTGGGAGCTGCCCAGCTGCTGCCGCCACATCATGGACACTTTGACCAAGAGCAGGATGATAGCGAAAGCGAAGAGTTTGTGCTGCTGTAGATCCGTAACGTGTGTTGTTTGCCGTGCAAGCTGTGTGTTATTTAATCATTATTTGTTTGATCTTGCTCACGCTCTCGTTTGCCTAACAGAACCAACAGCCACCCACTGACATTCTGGTATCTCAAACACAAAGACTTTTGTTATACATTAATACACATCATACGCATATAGTATATATGTATCTGTAGTATATAGCCAGTCACACAAAACACACACTCCTAATCTCTCTTACGCATTGTCTCGCATTTTCTCAGTCTGCATCTGCCTCTGCCAAATGTTCCAAGCTTTTTCCATTGTGTTATATAGTGTAGCAGCAGCACCCAAAAGCCTCGATCTACGCGTGTGTGGCGGGCTTGTCTTTATTTTGTATACTTATATTAATACATATTTATGTAATTCGCGGTATTATTATGTTTAATCACGAATCTTGAATGGAATTGAATAGTTTTGTCTTAGAGTACTTTAGATCCTTATATTCTAGAAATTAGTTAAATTATGTACCAAATGTAAGAAGTCCCCTACCGTCCCGTTCCTCCTCCTCCCATCTATCATTATTGCGTTTAAAAAAAGATAATAATTGTATATACCCTTGTGGAAGTCAATAAATAAATTATCCTAAATATGCATAAATAAATACTGTGTACAATTGATATGTTGGAGTGGGGGTTAGGGTGCCTCTAGCTATGAGTATCTCGCGTGTCCTTAATTCTAGGGTCTGGGACTAGTCACTGAATGAACCACACAACCTGCTCAGGTTTTAAGTACAAAAATTTCCTTTCTACGATTTTAGCTTTCGTTTACCTGTGCCTCACGCTCCAGCCGCTTCAACAACTTGGACAGATTCTCACGTGCGGTCGTGGCTCTTGAGCCATTAATGCTTATTGCCGTACGATATGCCTCAATGGCCTCCTGCACCTTGTCCCAGCGATGATAGAGCACACCCAGATTCGAGTAGTACAGCATATTGTGTGGATCCAGCTGAATCACACGCTTATAGAGTGTCTCCGCCTCGACATAGTGCTTCAGTTTGCCCAAAACATTGGCGCGTATAAAGAGGATGCTCATCTCGTTGGGCAAATGTAGCAGCGCCTGGTCAGAGATGCGCAGCGCATCGTCATACAGCGAACGATTGTCCAGCATGGTTAAGATGTTGGCCCAGGCCTTTGGCTGGCGTGGATTCAACGTAACGGAGTGCTGCCAATGATGCAACGCTTCGGCATAGAGTTTCTGCTCCAAATAAAGATTGCCAATGTTGTAGTAACACACTGCAAAGTTGGCTCTGTACTTGAGGGCCTTGTCGTAGCTGATCTTGGCCTGATCGTACTTCCGCTGGGCCGATTGGACAATGCCCAGATTCATCCAGGCGGCGGGGAATGCCGGAAAGACCTGCAGGGCCATGCGTATGTACTTTTCAGCTGTCTGCAGCTGTCCATGCTCCCTGTAGAGATTGCCTAGGTTCATCAACGCAGCTTCATACTCAGGATACAGCTCGATGGCATAGTGATAGTGCTGAAAGGCCTTCGTATTGTTGCCCGTGTCCGTGGCCAGGCGTGCGATGTTGTAGTGCACCTTGGCATTGTCGGGGCACACCTCCAACGCGGACTTGAACAACTGATCCTCGTTGAGCCAGTCGGTGGCACGCTGTCGTGTCCGCACCATCATCACAGCAAAGAGGAGCATCAGCATAGTCTGCAGCAGAGTGCGCCAGAAGGTCTTGTGAAGGTTGTAGTCGTACCAGTAGAGGAATCCATAGATGGACAGCAAACAGAAGCCAATCGAGGGCACATACAGCGTCCTCTCGGCTATCACAAATCCCACCCGAATGATACCCGAGGCGGGCAGAAAGGGAATGATCATCAGACCCAGACCCAGCATCATGCCGGGCAGGCGGCGAAAGTTCATCAAGGCCGTCAGCAGGATGGAGTAAAACCCAATGACGCCCTGCAGCCGCAGGTCCCAGATGCTGGTCACCAGCTTCACACAGCCCAGCGCCCAGTCGTAGCACAGCCAGTGGGGGCAGAGCATCAGCCAGATGTTCATGACCAGCAGATACTGCTGCGAGAGCACCCGCGTGAGAATGTGGTCGTTGTGTGCAATGGGATTGTCCACTTCCTTGAACTTGGGCGACTCAAAGTTCTGCCACCAGAGACGAGCCGTCAGTAGCGCGGATGTGCCCAGGATGTAGACAATGTAGCTGATGCGTGTACGCAATATCTTGCCCTGATCCTTTAGCGGCAGGTGGTAGTATCCGTTCTGAAAGTAGTCCATCAGCACACAGGACATGGGTATGGTCACGGCCGACTCCTTGAACAGCATTCCGATCGCCGTGAGGGTGAGTATCAAGCAAATGCTGTGCGGACTGTGCTTTCCCGCATTGGCCACCGTCAGCAGCAGGCACAGCAGGTGGATCATTCCAAACATAAGCTCCGCCCGTCCCACAATGCCCGACACCGCCTCCGTGTGGATGGGATGGGCGGCAAACAGAGCCGCCGAAATGATGGCCCACCGCTCGCCGTTGATCTCCACCACGTACAGCGAGCGCACCAGTCGCCACAGCAGCAGCGTATTCACGCAGTGCAGCAGGAGATTCAAGAACTTCATGTGGGCCGCCGTCAGGCCAAGGAGCGCATATTCGCAGTGGAACATCAGCGTGGTCAGCGGTCGGAAGGATTTGTGCGAATCTGAGCTGAGCAACGAAGCGCCCCAAAAGTCATGCGTGAAGATGGCAGTCCAGTTTGTGGGCAGTGCATTAACATCCTTATTCTTCACTATGGCCACCGTATCATCGAAAACGAACTCGGATCCACTCAGTCCCCCGCAGCCGTAGCAGATCAGGCACATTAAAACCAATATCGACTGGCATACCATGCTGTGGAGCGCGGTTCTCTGCCCGATAAGACCGACGCTCAACATTTTCAAGCTTTTAATTGATCGTTTTGCTAGTTTTAATTCACTTTTTATTGGAAATCGAATTTTTGCGGTGTTTTGTATACATTTTTTGTTGTGGGTCTTTCTCCCACCCACAAAACCAACTGTACTGGCCATTTGGCCATCAAATTGATAGCTATAAAGAAAAAATAAATCAAAATATTCTTTATAGCTCTGTTTACCCTTTTTGTTTTCTCCACCTATTTAAGCAGTTCTTCTTTATAAACTATTTAGCATATATTTTACTTACTTCATGTTATATCCATTGTAAATTATTTTTCGCTAAATTTATACCGCTCAACTTTGACAAGAAAAAGCCAACACCGCCAGCACTGTTCTGACTTTTCCATTCGCATGTTAACGTCGACGTCAGCTGTTCGACCTGCAATTGCAAACAAATCTGAAGAAAAATTGTTTAACTATTTCAAATTGTTCTTAAAATGTCTGAGGAGATTCTGTTTGATTGCCTGCACGCAGAGATAGTCAACTATTGTCTGGATAGCAATAAAGTAAGTGTCACTAGCCCATCAAGACCCCTGCAATACAAATTTTTAACTTTGTTCCGCCTCCCAGGAGCACGACCTGGCCACTTTGGAGTACATTGGCTTCACCACGGGGTATCGTTTAATTGAGCGCCTTACACGGGAGGTGGCGCGATTCAAGGATGAGCTGGAGACCATGAAATTCATCTGCACCGACTTCTGGACACTGATCTACAAAAAGCAGGTGGACAACTTGCGGACAAACAACCACGGGATGTATGTGGTTCAGGACAAGGCATTCCGTTTCCTAACACGCATTTCGCCGGGCACCAAACAGCTGGAACATGCACCCAAGTTTGTGGCCTTCACCTGTGGTCTGGTGCGAGGAGCTCTCAGCAATCTGGGCATCAACAGCACCGTCACCGCCGAAGTGCAGAGCATACCGGCCTGTAAGTTTCACATAGAAGTGAACCGAAGCTAGAGTAGAATGTGGGCTGCTTTATTTTGTTTACAATTAAAAATTACTATTAACTAGATTATGCTACATTTTTCATAGAACGCCACGACGTTTCGGTCAGTCCAGTCGAGGCGTTCCCGCAGAACCCAACCATCGGCGGGCAGCTGCGGCTGAATGGGATTCGGATCTGTATGTATGCCAAGAGCAGGATGTGGCCCTATCAAAATCAGCCACTTGCCCTGATATATACGCAGGTATTCAAGAAAAGCTCGACGATTGTTAAAGTAACAAAAGAGCATCGCACAAGGTGGAGCATCGTTGCAGCAGCCGCTCAAGAAACTGTCATCCAGTTGGTCTGCATCTTCCACATAGTTGAGGGGAATGAAACTGCGCACGGAATACTTGCTCTGCCACCAATTTCGATCGACTTCCAGGCCATGCATGCTGATTTTCTGCCCGCCAGCTGCAGCCATCAGCCACTCCAGTAGACCACTGCCACAGCCAATGCTCAGAATGCGCTGGATGTGATGCTTGGCCAGAAAATGGTTGTGGTTTTCCAAGTCCACCATTGTGGGCCATATCCAGAGCAGCTTGCGCTTCAGCTGCTGCTCCAGCGAGTCGCCAAAGGCAAGCAATTTGCGCCAACTGCCCGAGGCACCATTCGTTAGATAATAAATCTCACGCAGCGACTCGAGTTCCGATTGCTCGACGAACATATTGAATACTGATATTTGGTAATACTCGGAAGACTCTACGCGGACTGTCTTGATCTTGGCATTGACGTCGGCGGCACGCGGAAATATGGCGAGCGGCCAACTAGTTGCTGGTGACGGTGGCGTTTCGTGGGCATCTTTCCCAGCACTTTTTACTAATCACTAATAAATCAAGGGCCAACTGCCAAAAAGGGTGGCAGCAGCTTCATAATTAGAATATCATCAGCATTCGATCAGTTTGTGTGTTCGTTTTCGTAGGAACATTTGAAATTCTTTCGCCAATGCATTTCGCTAAAATTGGAGGTGCTATGGCCCGGGCCACGCAGCTGCTGCTGCTGTTGACGTTGCTCCTGCATTGCAACGTCGTTGGCGGCAGAGTCTTGTCCCGTGGCTATCTCCTCCTCGATGCTTAACTCATTCGAGTACTCTTCGTTGTCCAGGTCCAAAATGATCTTTCGATAGAGCTTCACATTTTGCTTTTGCATTGCATTTGGCAGGGGTTTTACTGCAGCTTGCTGCTGCTCCAGCTGCACTACGGGCAAGGCCACCGGCAGCACAACTGGCTCCACATTGCCCACGCTCTTGATCACGCTGTTGTAGCGCAGACTCTCGGCTGGGGTCTCCTCCGCTGCTGTGGCAGGCTCGTATGCACTCGTTGGGGTTATGATTTCCACGCTGCTCTCAAATGCAACGCCTGGATGCATGGAGCGAAGGTGGCGATGCATGTTGTCCCGACGATTGACCGTGACCTCGCACTGGGTGCAGCGATAGCGCTCGACAGTCTTGTGTTGCCGCAAATGGCGGGCCAGTGCATCCGCATCGTTGTAGCTCTTGCCACAGAGTGGACAGGGCTGGCGCTCGCGCTTCGAGTGACGCTTCATGTGCAGCCTGAGCGTGGACTGGCGCAGGAATGACTTTTGGCACACTTTACACTTGTGTCGTGAGCTGTTCTGGTCGTGCTTCAGGCGATGCTGCTTCAGATTGGCCTTGTTCTGGAAGATCTTTGCGCAGATCTCGCACTTGTATGGAAAGCCGTGATCTGTGTGCGCCACCAAATGATCCTTCAGTGTGCTCAGAGAGCGGAAAACCTTGTGGCAGTGCTGGCAGGCATGCTGCTCATTGTTGTGGATGCGCATGTGACGCTGCAGGACGTTTGGCTGCTTAAACTTTTTGCGACAAATGCTGCAGGAATACTTTGAGTTGCTGACGTGATTGTTCAGATGGTACTTCAAATGCGAGTGGGTGGCAAAGCGCTATACGTGGAGAGAATCATGCAATTTGAATACTTTTAAGAGCAAACACCACACCCACTTACCCGATTGCATTGCTTGCAGCAGAACTTCTTGAGCAGATCATTGCCGCAGGAAAGATGATAGTACTGTTGGGTGCGGCTGCGGAAATCCTTCTTACACACGGTACAGTGATAGCCCTGATCCGTGATGGTTATCCGTTTGTCTGCAGTCGTCCTGACATTTGAGATTTTCTTTGGCGAGACTTGTTCTTTGTTGGCAAGTCGACATTCCAGGCAATCGGACACATCTGCCACCAGGCAGAGGCGACACTTGGTGTGGCCACAGCTGTCGGTGACCAGCCGATTCTGTCCACTTGCTTCGCAGTCGCATCGTGGACATTTACCCATTACATTTATAACAAATATTCAAACAATGAAAAGTGCAGGCTGCAGCCATGCAGTCTCTTCTTCTTGAATGGGGCACTCAGCTGGCTGTCGCTGCCATTCAAAGCGAAACGTAAACAAAAATGGCGGTCGTGGGGAAATATGAATTTATACTTTTAACATCTTAAAGAATACAACTTAATGATTGAGAGAATCATCCTTATTATAGCAGTACAATGAGCTGAGCTTCAACGAAATTTCCTTAAATTGTTAATCATCCAACCCCTCCAGATCCAAGCTCGCCACGTGGCCCGGGAAGAGATGAGCCTTCTGCATGGGGACTTGAACAAAATAGCGCTCGCAGAATTTTGGATTTCGGCGGGATAGTACTTCCTGGAGTATTGTGTTGTGGTTGGCTTTCTTCGTAATTAGAAGACGTCTAGATTCCCCATTGCCGTAGCTACTCGAGCGTAAACCGTATTTGCTCGCAATCCTGAAAGTGAATATCAATTGTTTGGAATTTGAGGTGATTACATAGAAGGTGGAAATAAGATTATTACAAGATAATACAATGAGCAGAGCAGAGAATCCACCAAGTACCTCACACGCAGATTTTCCGATGAGGGGGGGCACTTACTTGTGAAATGAGGCACGCTCTTCCTTGGAGAACGTTGGCTCAAATTGCATGTCGCGCATATCATCCGATTTGACATAATTTTCAATCATTTTGCGAAATTTTGCCAGATTTACATTCGGCTTGTTGCAGCCACCCAAGCCACTGCGATTGGTTTTCAGCAAATATCTAAAATAGAACAAAAGTTTTAAGCATTAAAGTTAATAATTCACACAGAGATTCCTTGTGAGAGCAATTACATACCCAACGGGTTCTTCGCGTCCTTGCTTTTGGCGACCCAGACCACTGCCCGTCCAGCCCATTAGGCGCATCATGCGGTAGCCTTTGTTGGTTTCATCCAACTTGGGACCGCCCAGGCTATCGGCAGACTCCTTCGTCACATTTATGTTCACACCATTGATTGTCTTTTCGACTTTGATGGTCTGTCGGCTGGCGTTCAGCTGAATAATTTTGAATTTGAAAGTCAATTGACGCCAACTTGGAATGGTCTTCGTTTGTATGTACCTTGATGCTATAGCAGTGTGTCTGGAGCAGGAACAATGCCTGTTTAAATGCTGCAATCTTGGCCTCCTTGAGGTTTTCACCTTGGCCAACTGCAATCACCTCGTTATTTACAAGTATCTCGGAATATTTGGTATTTTCGGTGGACTCGGGCTCTTTGCACGGACGCTCCTCGTACTTGACGTGGCTTATGGCACACGAATTGCGCAGACAACTACGTCCGCCGTCTAGATATAGGATCAGCTTGCCAAAACGTAGGCCCTCGAAGAGATCAATTGGCTTGCCGTCGCCGAAACACTGACGCTCTCGACTGTATGGATTCGTGCCACCCCGCTGCTCATCCTGGAGTTGATTAGGCTTTGTTGTGCCACTGCGCCCTATTTGTTTGGAATTATTCATTAGGAAGAATTCGTGGACTCTGGCTCATATAACTACTAGTAATATAAATAACTCTCTGCCTGATCAAATCGAACTAATTCTTCCGTCTACCTTTGGCGCGCTGCTCCGCCGCATCCGATGCGGAGACAAATGTTCGCTTCAGGCGCTGGTCGCGCTTCCTTCTGAACTCTTCAGCGATTTCTTTGGACATTTCCGCCACCAGATGCATCGTTTCGCTTGGGTATTTGCAGCCGAGGAATTCCATATTGACGAATGTCTGAGCCAGGCACACCAGGCGGTCTTCGTCAAAGCGCTCCTTGTGGGCGACCATGAAGCTGCGCCGCAAATCCCAATGTTCCTCACTCTCATATTCCGTCCTGTAGTCATCCACATTCCAGGCCAATGAAAATTCTCCAGATCCATAGCCGGCGTCATTTTCTTTTGCCTTAATTGTTTTCTGTTTTTTGTTGGTATTGTCAGGGATTACTACATATTCAGACACAGTCTCAATTCTTTGTTTCTTTACTTTTGAAGCCATTTTCGTGTGTGTTTTCCTAGCAGCTATTTTCGCAGAGATGGAGGGCAGGCCAAGGCACGCTATTTCGTTTTGATAGCATTAATCGCTATTCACATCGGTCGACTTACATTAAAAATGGAAAGATATCTTCCGAAAAAAGCTAAAATAGCAGCACTATCGATAACCTGCACTGACAGCTCTGGCTCTCTCTGCCAGCCTTTTTGTCGTGCCGTGTGTGTGTTTTTAAGTTCCTGGTTTTTAATTCATGATTTTTTGGTAATTTTATTATAATTTCGAAAGACAAGAAAGGAGCCAGTTACTAACTGATCAAGTGTCTCCATAGCTGCGAGTGAGCAAGCCGAGTGCATCAACGTTCCAGACACACAGCAGCCGAAACTGCCAACATGAGCATACCCAACGAATACATTGCGAAAACAGAAGATGTGGCGGAACAGGTAAAATATATATTAACAGTACTCGAAATGGATCACCAGAGAGGGGGGATACCTAGTCGCAGTCGCTCACACAAACCCCTTGACATCCAACATATTGGCCTTGGACTGACCATTAAATTGGGACTGGCAGCTGCACGGAAAGAAAACTGCCAACGTCACCCAAACGCGGCAAACTTTATAGTGCTCAAGTGCAGTCGAATCACTGGCCCTGACTATGGGAGGTACATATGCAAGGTTAACTCAGTCTGACTACCGATTTAGACAGAATAGCATCCTGCTTATCAAGCAAAAAAATGATTCCAATTCGCAATTGTTGCGTCTGCACCAGACAAAAATACACCCCTATGCACACGCATATGTGTGAACATACATTGGGATGCCTATGAGTTTGCGAGAGTGTGCGTGCAAGTTGCTTCTTGCAAGTGAAAGTGGTGAGAGTGAGTGCGTGAGACGAGACGCCGACGCCATCGGCCAGGTCGAGAGTTCCGTAATAATCTTTGAGAAAGCAAAATGGTTTAATAATGCTGCACACCAGCGACACTCGGCTGTGTGTTTGTGTGAGAGATTGTGGGCCTGGTATTTTTATATATTTATTCAAATCGCATCGAGAGCGTGCTGGGGAGCTGGTCACTTAGGCCTAAAAACCCGTTAGGCGAACAGAGTGCGCGCACACCGATAGCGGAGATCGGTAGAAATAGATAGAGAGGGCGAGAGACACGTCACAGTCTTGCCAAACCAAACCGACATTTCCCCTCATAAATACACGTGTAAATATGTACATGTGTATGTGTGAAAGCCCCGCTCAATGAGTGCGATCGTATATTTCCCATCTCTTATCACCCGCACACTTATCAATCCGCCAAACTGTATTTTAACTATCACTAAATGAACAATAATTTCGCTCCCTCTCTTTTTGTCAACGGTCTCCCGTGCAGGTTATCAAGCGCGGCAAGAATGTGCTGCCCACGGTGGCGCGTCTCTGCCTCATCGCCACCTTCTTCGAGGATGGCCTGCGCATGTACTTCCAGTGGAACGAACAGCGCGAGTATATGGACATGAGCTGGGGCTGTGGCAAGTTCCTGGCCACCGTATTCGTGCTGGTCAATCTGCTCGGCCAGCTGGGAGGCTGCGGCATGGTAATGGCTAGATTCAAGGTTGACATCGCCGTCGGTCTGCTCTTCTTCATTGTGGTGCTACAGGTAAACGAATCAGAATCAGAACTCCAAGCAAAGACTCTTACTAACCCGCTTTTTTCCCATTTTGTTTTCACAGACAGTAGCCTATTCCATTCTGTGGGACTTCCAGTTCTTGCTGCGAAACTTTGCCTTGATTGGAGCCCTACTGTTGGTTCTGGCCGAGGCACGGATCGAGGGCCGCAGTTTATTTGCGGGCGTACCATCGATGGGCGACAATAAACCCAAGAACTTCATGCAGCTGGCGGGACGCATTCTGTTGGCCTTCATGTTCATTACCCTCATCCGGTTCGAGCTGAGCGTGTGGCAGGTGATCCAGGACATTATCGGCTCCATTCTAATGGTGCTCGTGGTGCTGGGCTACAAGACGAAGCTATCGGCCCTGATCCTCGTCGCTCTGCTCACTGTTCTGAATTTGTATCACAATGCCTGGTGGACCATTCCGTCCTACAAGCCACTCAGGGATTTCTTGAAATATGACTTTTTCCAGGTAAGAATAACACAAAAAACATGTTGATTGTTTTCCAAACTCCATTAATTTGCAATAATTAATATTACAGACACTTTCGGTTATTGGTGGCCTGCTAATGATCGTATCCTTGGGCCCTGGTGGCGTATCCATGGACGAGCACAAGAAGAAGTGGTAGAGATATGTTTAGCGCAAAAACTACCACGGAACACTTGAGCAGCAATTGACTTGAACCGTGTTTTACTCTTTCCGAGAAATGTTAGTTAGGATTTACCATAAAATGGGACAACAACAGGAGCAGCATCAGCACAGACAACATCGGCACACCTATAAGAACTTGACAAATATTTTTTGTATGAAAAGGGACTTGACTTCCGCAATAACCTCCCAGGGCCCTGACCTACCTATCATCCAGCCCAAAACCCAAACCCAAAACCCAACCATCATTCGCGCACATTCAACGACAAACTCCGTCTACATTTAAGATCGTTTTTTCTTTTTGTACATAACGAAAATGCAACAAACAAATATGGCATAATGTATGTCCGGCCACCCCGCCCAAAACGAGAGACATTAACTGATTTTGACTATCCAATACTTGTCAGGCAAAAAATCCATATAATTCGCAGGTTTTTTTTTATTATAATTTGTACGCCCTTATCAATAAGTTGTAATCTTGGTGTTTGCGTTTTGTTGTTTAATAGAGGGTTGAATATGATGAGATGAAAACGATGTATAAAATATGATGAGTGTACCAATTGACAATGATTTGTTTCTTTCGTTTATAAGCAAAAGTGTAATAGAATTAAATTGTACCGTTTTAATAAACATAATGAAGAAAATTGAATGATTTCGTTTTCTTTTAATTTGAGTGCGATAATTTACGATAACAAACTGAAGACCTAGTGAATGACATAAAATCGATAGGTCCCGTCCAACTTTTTATTTATTTTTAAATTTACATTATTTTTGTACATTACAATGTCTTAACTCTCTGGTAGCGGTGTCGCTCTGTGGGTGTAGCTATTGGCTATTGTTTTCAATACATATGTCTAAAAGAATGTCCTTCCTAGAGCTGGAATTTGGGCACTCGCAGCAGTTGAAGGGACTCGGCGTCCCAGGCAAACCTAGCGACTTAACCCGAGCAGCCGCGACACCCGCAATGCACACACTCCACGATGCGTCCCTCCTCCAGTTTGGACTTGGGCACCCGGCAGATGCAGTTTGTGCCAAAGTTTGTGTCGCGCGACTGTATGCATCGCAGGCAGCAGAGGTTCTCGTAGCCGGACTTTTTCCATTTGGCTATCAGATTGCCATCGGCAATCTTCTCCTTTAGGCAATAGTCGTACAGCTCTCGGCTAATGGCCTTGCGACGGTGGAACAGGTCGTAGATGTAGCGGGTCTTCTGATGGTGGATCTTGAATATCGGCCACAGGGACTCCGAAATGCGTTTTCCCTCGTGTGGTTCTGTTTCGGCCTCCCGCATCTTCTGCTCGATTTCCTCGAGTGTGGGCTCTATCAGCTCCCATCCGTCTGGGGGCGGCTTGCGGCTCCGGCGTACTTTCGGCATTATTTTATGGTTTTTTTCTTCTTAATATATTGTGCCAAAATTTGATGCGATGCCGTAATGTGTGAATGGCAAAAGTAATGGCAATGGAGCAGGGAAACACTAATCGACATTCACACAAAAGTAATAATTATTTTCGTTTGAAGACCAGACTCGATTTTTTTCGATCTTTAAGCTAAAAACATCGATTTAATCGTCAAAAAAAAAGACATTCGCGGTCACACAAACTCAAGCCAATTTATAAAACATTTTCCACCGGTGTTCTCCAATTAGATTTTTTTTTACGCTACCACTTGGTTGACAAACACCCGAGAATGGCAAATGCGCCTAAGAATATTTTAGCAAAGGTATAAATGATAATCCATGGTAAACTTTAGTCATTTTGAAGATTGTCCTTTGTTTCAGACGCTAACACCGATTCGAGTGCGAGTCTTTGATCTTCCGGAGTATATATTCGTGCAAACCAAGTTAATACCAGCACGGTACGCCCGTGAGAATGGGATAGTCCCAACCCGCATAAAAAGGCCATGTACTCGGCCGAATGCGGCTGTTGCCGCCCAGCCTGCCAAGCTTGATCACCAACCACCCAAGACAGTGTCATTGATCAGCTACTCTGCCATGCAGCCAGAGGAGCCCAAGAACCCCGTCCGCGAGCGCTTCGTACAGACAGAGGAAAAGCTGACCTGCGATGTGGGAGTGCAATGCGACATAGACGATTGGGAGGAGGAGCAAATAGACAAAGACTGCAAAAGAGAATTGCCAAATGAAGAGGAGGACGAGGAAACGAAATTCATCACATTCGTGGTTGAGAACACATCGATGATCCGGAACGGAATGATGGAGTGCTTGGTCTGCGGCGAGGTTGCCCGATCCCTGCAACAGCACAAGAGTCACATTGTGATGCACTATGGGCCGCCAGTACTCTGCAGTTATTGTGGCGAGCTCGTGAATCACGAACTTCTGCTGCAAAGACATATTCTCACCTGCCCCTCACGTCCATCGAAGAAGCCTTCCATTTTCCTCAAGTGTCCGAATATGTTCTGCAATATTATGACCAGAACGCTGCCACAGCTGTACAAACATCTCAGCACACACGAAAAGCAACCCCGCTATCGGTGTCTGCAGTGTCGTTTTCATTTCAGGACTGCCGTTTCATTTCTTCTGCATCGCAAGAAAAAGCAGAGCTGCGCCAGGGCAAAGGCGCTGTTTCTATTCGACAAGCAATCGGCATTACAAAACAAGGGAGATCGCAAACGATGCACCGTCTGCCTGAAGAAGTTTAGCAATGAACGGCTGTGCGGCATTCACAGGCTCAACTGCATTCAGGCGATTCACAGAAAAGTGACAAGGAAACTCTTCAAGCCCTCGATGTTGGCCTAAACGATATTTATTTATGTAAATTAATAACAATAAATCGAAGCAGCACCTATGACGCCTGCACGCCGTGCGCTTTCTTTAAGCCCTGGAACAATTGCAGCTTCTCCAGATTGATCTCCTTCAGGGTCTGCACGGCCAGCTCCAGCTGCACCTTCTTCAGCGAGTGCTCGCTGGCAATGTATTCCTCGATGAACTTCAAACTTATGTCGTCGGCGGCAAAGTCCTGCTCCGTTTTGCCAATGGCCGTATGGATTTCTTGCTCAATGCCCTGCTTCTCCTCGGGCCTTCGCAAGAATCCTTGCAGCTCCGAGAGTGCGCTCTCGGCGGGTGAGGGATGTAGCGCCTGCAGCTTGGCCAGCGTTTCCCTATATTCCACCGGAATTTTGTGTATTTTATAGGTCAGTGCAATTAGCTCGACGGCATTGTGCAGGTAGTCCCGCCGTATCATGTCGTACAAGAGATCATCGATGCACCGATGCCAGGCATAGAAGAAGGCCATCGGACCAAAGTGCCGGGTGGAACGCAGCAGATCGAACTGCTTGGACTCGTTTAAATGCTCGAAAACTCTCGCTGAGAGATTGTGGAACTCGGTCTCGTAGGGTTCGTATTGCACTGTGAGCCTGTCCAGCACGAATTCGTACTTGTGCTCCTCCAGACACTTGTGCAGCAGCTCCTCGTAGGCGAACATGCGTGGCGTGTAGGACTTGCGGCCCTCCAGTGGAAAGTAGAGCTGATTCATTCTCTTGATGATGTCCAGCGAGGCGTAGGCCAGGGTGCCGTCTGTCTCGCGGACCACCACCTTGCGCTCCGAGTGGGGAAGGCCGAAGGTGATGTCCGTGAATACGTACTTGGTGGTGGCAAAGTCTTTCAGTGCCGGATCCTTGGCAATGGGTCGTTCAGTGTCTTGTTTGATCTTCACGATGGGCGGCATCTTCAGCAGATGCTTGGCCTTCTCGATGGTCATCAGGAACTCCTGCTCCAGCTGCTCGTTGGTCATGAACTTGGTTTCGCTCCTGTTGTCCTTCACAGTTCTCTTGCGGAACACCTTGTCCAACTGCAGTTGCGTCATGGACTCGAGCAGGCGCTGGGTTTCGGCATCGGTGAAGAGCGGCTGCGGATCCTGGTCGTATTTGAGTGTGGCGCTCTTTGCCGGTGCACTGGAAACATCCCGCCGGCAGTGCTGTAGTCCTTGCAAAGCATTTAGACGGCGCACGTGCCTCAAAAGGGACATTTTAATTCAATTTAAAAATAAGAAACAAAATACACGAGTAGGAAGTTTAGTGCTTGGCAACGAGGTATGCGAATCGTTTTACAACACTGTTGTTGCCAGTCTATGTAGAAATCTGTGTACATGCAGTGTAAAATAAATTATATAGTAACATTTATTGTTTGGGAATGTTATACAAATGTTGGAACATTTGAAAAAGACAACTAATCGAAACTATTCCCTAAATTTAAAACTACTTTGGCGAATTTCAGCTATTCGAGTCTAACACGATCAGTTGCGTCGATGTTTTTGCAAGCTTAAAAGAGTGGAATCGATAGTACAAACTCAAATAAATGTTCGTATGTATTACTTTTGTTAAGTGGCGTAGCGCTTTGATAATAGCTTCAAGATCTCCTGAAACTTGTTTTGATTGGATATTAACATGCTTTAGATTCTCTGATTCAGGAATACCCAGAATGATAAGCAGGGTGGCGATATCGAGCCACTGACAACACAGTTCGCTGTATCGATAGGAGCCATCGATGGTTTTGCAGCTCTATTACTTGCATTTTAACTGGAAAAATTGCAGGAAAAATTGGCATTCATTAATAGCGGGCAGAATGGATAACGCGGAAGTGGGCAGCGCTTTTGTTGCAGCGCAAAAGCGGCGCTTCTCGGTGAGAGAGATTGCACTAAAAGATGCCGCACCCCTGCTCTGCGTTGACCAAGACTACCGCCCCGAGCCGAAGACAAAACAACGCAAAAAAGGGGACGACTTCCAGGAGCACCACCTGCTCAGCTTTTGCGATGAAATTCTCTACGAGATTTTCAAGTACCTGGACACGCCATCCATCATGGCCCTAATGCAGTAAGTCGCGACCACTAGAGCCAACTCCAATACTCTTCTTCTGTCGTTTGTTTGGTCAGCTGCTCGCCGCGTTTGGAGAACCTGCTTCTGGATCACCGGTTTTGGCACGGGATCGATCTCAGCAACGGCCCCCTGCCGTTGGGCATACTAGAGGATATACTGGGTCGTGCCACAGAGAAGACACACACAATTAAGATTTGCGGACCGCCCTCGTCACAGCATGTTGCGGGCGAGTTCCGGCAGTTCACCTGCACCTTGACCACCGTTTTCCCCAAAGTGGCCACACAGCTGAAGGTGCTGGAGCTGCAGGGCGTCAGCCTGGACTTTGAATATGTGAGAAATAAACTTGAAATAAACTACAATATTCGTATAATTTAATTTCATTTTTATAATATAGATACGCATCACACAGTTCCCTGGCTCGCTGACGCGTCTCAAGCTGAAGGACTGCAGTGTGAAAGTCGGGGATCAGGGCAAGAGCATATTCCAAACGATAGAGATGCAATTGGTTAACCTGGAGGTGAGTGAAGTGGAGCCGCAGCACAGCTGAGCTCTTAATGTATTCACTTGCCTTGTGCAGGATCTCAGCATCGAGGATAACAACTGGTTCGAGCCATACTACATCATGGCCCTCTCCAAGCTGCCCTCGCTGCGACGACTCAGCCTCAAGGGCTGCCAAATGCTGTGCAAGTTTGTGCCTTACGGCAGCATGGCGGCACGCTTTGGTTTTATGAAGCTAGAGGTGAGATAGCCCAACTGACGTTGTCTCTTTTATGTTAAATCATTTGCAATTCGTTCAACAGGTGCTCGATCTACGTCTAACGCCCATAAACAACTCGGATCTGCAATGCTTCAGTGCCATTGAGAACCTTAAGGAGCTACTGCTGGAATCCCCACTCAACCCGCCGCCGGAAGCGGCATCGCCTGAAAAGGTGAACAATGGAAATGACGAGGCTGCCACATCGCAGTCGGAATCTCTGAAAGTGCTAAATGATGACGAGCCGTCCACATCTCGTGCTGCCATGGAACATTTGCGTGCCTGCAAAATGGCACGAGGCAACGACCCGAACGAATCCTCCGATGCGCCCAGGCCATGCCACGACATATTCCACTCGGACCCCAGCGACGACACGGTGGATGAACCAGCGCCAGCATCAAGTGCATCATGTTCGAGGAAGCGCGTATGTTTGTCCTCCGAGTCCGAAGATGAGGATACATCCTCGGCGTCAGCGTCCTCGTCCGACAAGTCGGACAGTGCAGCTCCGCGCAGCAACGGACACAACGGTGGCATCGATCCCAATGCTGCCGTGCGGTCACCTCTGGTGGTAATAGCTCTGCCAGGTGTTGCTGCCGTGCGGCAAGGTATGCCGCCTGCTGCTGATCAGGCCGACAACGCTGAACCAGACGAAGCTGGGGCTGGAGCTGGACCGGTACCACGCGCCTATGTCTACGTGCCCGGTGGCCAAGGCCCTGGCGAGAATCCACAGCCCAATATGCAGTCCATACTGGAGCAGATGGCGGACCATTTGCGGTCGTTTCGCGGCAACAATCCGGCACACAGCCGCTTCCTGCCACGACGCGATCAGGTGATCTACATGAACCCCCAGGCCATGGCCATCAGAGAGCCAATGCTTGTCATGCACTCCGCTCGAAGGCGCTCCCTGGCACGAGGTAACTTCGACCAGGTGGTTCACCATCCAATGTTCTGGAACATGCTGGATCCCCTGGACAGAGACTATGCCCGCCGATTGCGACACCGACAGGCATCCAATCCATGCCCACCACCCCAGTACTATGTCTCGGATCGGGCCATCTACAGTTTCGGGCGCGCGGCCAGACCTGTGCAGCCGGACGTTGTCTGGATACGGAACATCAACCGATCGCCCGACAACCGTCTCGAGCGGATCTCACTGCGAAACTACCAACACATAACCAACCACACACTGGAGCATCTCGTGCAATGCTCGCCCTTCCTGGTATTCATCGATGTGAGTGGCACGAGTGTCACGGTCCTCGGCTTGCGTAAATTCAAGGAACTGAAGCCAGAGTGTGAGGTAGTGGCAGGGCATTTGGACATAGATGAGGATGTCAAGCCACCGGAGAAGGACCCAGAGCAGCCGGCACCAAGCGATACACCAGATGACGCACCCGACGAGGAGCAGCCACCACCATCGCCGCCGCCACCACCACCACCACCACCACAGGAATTCGAAGATGTGGCATAGACGAATTCCCTTGCCCCCCAAACTGGGACAAACAGTCCGCTCCCTCCCATCTAAGTGTATTTCGTATTTTGTTGTTCCGAACTACCGTAAAATTTGTCTTTAACCCATGGCGGCCCGTCCTGGCTTGGATACTTTTAACGAGATGACGGAAACATGGCCAAGCCTGAAAAAAAAGAAAACCAACAACCACAACCATGGCTGTCTACAAGCAAAAGCTGTAGCTCAAGCCCATCTAGTATTACGCCCCTTCTGCACCCCTCCACCCATACACACTAAACGCTCTTGTACTATATGTCAGGCTTGATACAATGTATAAACCCCCCTATCATTTAGTTAAGCATTAAAAGATATGAACAATCCTTTTGGTACATTGAACCGTTTATTTTTGTAGTGTTTTATGTTATGTGTTTGATGTGTGACACGCTTGTGTATATATTATAATATTATCATGTGTAATGCTTATTTGGTAACTTCTTTTGAAATAATTGTTGGGGAAAAGCTTTGAAATATTTTAGGAAATGTATGTGTATCTATCTCTCCTGAAACAGCAAGTAAGAAGTTTGAAAATGAATGTTAAAAAGTGTAAAAGAAACCACATGGATAGAAGACCTAACAACAACACAGAATGTGAATGGTATGCATGTGTAATGGTATGTATGTGTAATGGTATGTATGTGTAATGGTATGTATGTGTATGTGTAGGTTGATCTTGTGCTTATTTATCGGCACAATTGGAGGAACCTTCATCCTCCACTTCATCGGCATCCGACTCCTCTGTGTCATCAGTGTCCGAGTCCGAATCGCTAGAGCTCTGACAGTCTGTAATTTCACCAGTGAAGAATATAACAGCCTTGGGAATGACACGCTCCTTCAAATAGAATCCTAGTTCAAAATCATTTTGCAAGATGTTCTACCAAAGATAAAGTTACACACAAAATTAAGCCATGACCACATGACAAAGAAATCACGAGTCTTACATTGATATCGCAATAGTTTGGGTCATTCTCATCACTTGGCAAAATTGGTGGATTGAAGAATGCAAAGAATGTTTGCTCTGAATCTGTTCCATTCAAAGATGGTTCCGTCACTTTAAGATTTTAAGATCAACTAGCTAACCTTTCTTACCCTTGTTCTCGATATCCTGGGGATTTTTCCAATTTATAACACAGCCCTCAGTCTTGTAGATCTCAGCGCCATCGTATGACAAGGGATCCTCAATGTCTGGCACACAGTTGAGGTAGTAGGTCTTCAGCAGCACATCATTGGTGAAGAACTCGTTCTTGTCAAAATGAAATTGCACCTCAAATTTGACCACTGGATTGTTGTAGAGCTTGGTGCGTATATCATTTAAATACTGTGAAGGAAAAAAGAACTTGAAAATTGTTGCATATGCAGATTTCAATGTCACTGAAGGAGAAACAGCTGCCGAGAACTTTCTATGGCGCATTGAATTGCTTAAAATAACACAGACGACCGTTTGGTTTTCTCAGAAGTCATTTATTGACTTGCGGCTTATCGCGGGGGCTAAGATTTCAGTCGCGACAGCCAGAGCTTTGTTTAAATCCAAAAGCCAATGAGGATGTTTATGTTTATGTTATGAAAAATTCGCGATTCTACACTCATGGATAGGGGGACGGTATCAGCTTTTGCGTATGTTCTTAGAATTAATTGAAGAATTTGTAAAATAAATAATGCATGTCGAACAAAGGCAGAGTAGCTGCTGTACCTTTGATTGACTTTGAAAAATATATTTTGAGTACTTCAAAGAATGAACTGTCAGCTACAGTATTGCCTTTTGATTTCAAATTTAATTTCTAATGTACACTCACCCCCAATATTTGTTCATCTTTCTTGCTAATGAACTCTGTGTAGGAGGACTTCAGCACACGCAACCAAAAGTTGGTCACGTTGTCATTTTGTGTGGAATCGCCATGATTCTTCTTAAAATCCCTAAGAAAGCCACCAGACATTAAATGGGGAAAAGTGCTTAGGGTTTGGTTGATTGAGGCACTTACTGCAAGATTTTCTTGCGCTTATCAAATATCACATTGTGTTTCAACTCGAATTTCTGTTCCAAGCTGTAGATCTCCCGCTGCAATTCCACATCCAATTGGATGGTCTGTAGATAGAGGGTCTTCAACTCAGCTATGGCTATTTTTTCCTCCTCGGTGTACTTTTCGTTCTGTGTAGCACACCCCATATAGTATGTAGCCTACCGCAGATATCCGCAGATAACTAGCCCGCCAAGTACTTACAATCATTTTGGTAAACGAATCAACGTATTTGGCCTTGGCCGACCGCGATCGAGAACTAAGCACGGCTTCCATTAAGGAAGTGGATTGATCTTTGCTTCGTTGTACAGTTCAATAATTATTTCACTTTCGCCAATTCACTAAATATTTTCCTGACAAAAGTTGCACACAATTATTTTCACTTTCTAAAGTTTCAAACTAAATTTCTATTCCCAAATTTTAGCTTCAAATGTTGTTTTTTTTTTTAAATTTTTCTTTTATTTTCTAATAGCTTGTGTTGGCTTGCCGGTCGACACTCGAATGAAAATATTTGATATCTGTGTGGAATAACAGACTTGTTCAGAAATGTCAAAGCACTCTTTGTGATTCAAATAACTCCAAAAAGTGTTCCTGAATTTGTTTCTATGGCAGCTCTATGATATAGAGATCCGATTTTATTTAAATTTTTGAGAGTCAAGTAGAAACTTATACTTGGAGTTAATTTAAAAATGTATTTATCAAAAGCAAATATTTTGTCCTGTTCTGAAACTGGCGAAGAAGTGCTATGCCTTATAATTCCCAACTGGTTCTGGCGCCACATAACCAAAGAGGCATCGTTTCCGTGGTGTTAAATTACTCTGGTTTCTCTTCAATTGTCGAATAAATCTTTCGCCTTTTACTAAAGATTTCCGTGGAGAGGGACACTCTAATGAGTCTAAACTAAATTTTTTGCAGTGCCTGGTGATATTTGTCGCCGGGCCATATTAAATACATGAGACAACACCACACTGAATAGTTTTATGAAGAGAATTCTTGGATAAAGGGTTGGTGGTTGTTCAGGGATGGGGATGTACGATAATGGCAGAATAAATAGATTGAGGACCAAAGTTTCCATAAATTCGTTCAGAAACCAGTAAAATAAAGAATTTTTCTTAATGGCTTTAAGCACCCCTTTCGTTTTTTGGTCGGTGTCATTGAAATGCAGGCCATGTTTATTGGCAATTTAACGCACATTTAATTTTTGGTGCTGTTCCTGTTTCTATTTTAAGTTTTTCCTTGTATTTTTCTTCGAACTTTTCATTTGGCATGTAATTAAGTGTGGCTTGTGGGTCGTAGCATGGGTAGGGAACCCGGCATGGGTACAGCTGCTTAAGTGTATGCAAATCACGTGCTGAGTGCTGCCAAGGGTTGCCAAGGTTCAGAGTCTGTTTAATGGGCCGGACTTAGCTTTCTGTTCTATGGCTCTCCATCTCTGGGTTGTCTTTTGACACCCCATCGGACATTGGAGTGGACTCCAGCCTAGTTACAATAATGTGGAACAGGGCTTAGTGCCATATGTCAGGCTACAAAACTACATAGAAATGAAAGCAAAAGAAATAAGTACATTTTTGTCGCTTAGGCAAACATTTCAAATGAAATTATGAGTCGGGCTTGGGTGGGAAAAAGTGCAAACAAATTTAGCCAAGCGGAAGTCCAGACACACACACAACCACACAATCGGGAATCCCACAGAGGGAGCAGCAAACATAGCGGAGAGCGAAAGGGAGATCGCATTGTTGCATGTTTGCACACAAATACACATGAAGAGTCCATGTACTCGTACTCGTACTCGTACTCGTACCATGGGGTACGCATGTCCAGCCAGAGTATCCGCAGGACTGCCCAATACATACACCTCCTACCCCTACCCATAGCACTCGCAGTACTCCATTCCGCGTTGTCCTCATATTTGATATTATTAAATTTTTTACCCTAAATACCTCTGGGAAATTAAAAAGAAATCATAAGGCAAATACGAGCATCAGCAGTGGAGGCAACAACAGATGATGACTCTCTCGCTTTCGCCCAGTTGGTCCTGTGCCCAGATTTATGCTCTGCCTCTTTAAGTGCTGCAACTGCGAAGTTAAGCTGTTGCTGGCATTTTCAATTTACATTTCGGTCATTCAATTATAAGGTGCATCAGAATTTAGCTACATAAGTAATATGGAAGCCGGTCATCATCACCATCAGCATCAGCATCAGCATTCAGGGGCATCATTGCCATCATCCACATCGTCAGTGCCAGCAGCGTCAACATAGTTTGAATTTAATTAAAACCAAAATTAGTAAAACCCTGAACGGGCCAAGGCAGCAAAGGACAGAGCAGAGGCGGTGCCAGACCAGACCCTGAACCTACACTCAAAACCCAAACCCAAACCTGAACCCAATCCGAGAGTCTGAGCAACAGTTACTTGGCGCTGGGATTAGAGATTCTCCTTCTCCTGCAGCTGCAGTGCAGCTGCTAGTTTCTGGCAAAAGTGCATGTCTGCAGAAAATCGAATCAGCAGCTCAACGTCCGCATCCGCATCCCCATCCGCATCCACCCATCCTCCTACGTCCAGGTGGAGAGCTCCAACCTTTATGCCAAAAATATCTACAACAAAAGCATAAGATGTAGTGCAGCATTTGATGATGAAACGACGTGTTAATTAAGGTCATAATAATTCAACTTAAATTGAAAACTTGCCCGGCTTTCGGGCCAGCACACCCCACACCACCTCCCCCAGTCGCTCAGCCTTTTGGTGCCTGGGGATGGTCTTACGCTGTGGCAGGTTGGGTGGGCCTGGCCATCCTCAGCTTGCAGGCTAAGCTGATTGCAACAAATTATTTTGCACCTTGGTTGAACTTTCCTTGAGCTGCAGACAGCATGGCGTTGATAAACGAATTTTGTTAGTTTGCTTTTGCTTATTTTAAATGGAACCAGGGGGCGGGCGCTACAAGGAGGACCAAGGAGCAGCAACAGCCAGGTGCGGTCCGAGTCTGAGTCTAAGTCCGAGGTCCAGAGTCCCGGGTTCCGGGTTCCGGGTCCAGGACAGGGGCCAATGTTGCCTTTGGTTTTGCATAAACCAGACAACGCATCTAATAAGTTGCAGCTGTTGGGTTTCCATTCGCTCTGCCGCCGCCCTGCCGCCCTGCCGCCCTGCCGCCCCGCTGCCACCTGCCCTTCATAAGAACTTTAAAGTTTTGCCGCCTAATGCCACAAAGTGCGGAATTGTGTTTGCCATTAAATGTTATTAGTTAAGGGATAATTAACACTTAGAAAACTGTGCAAAATATCCCCATGCACCGCCACCTTCTTCGACTAGCGCGCATTTGCATATCGCACCTAATTGGCTTAGACGGCCATTGCTTTTTGGGCATAAGAAGTACAGTCCCATCAAGCGGTGGTGGAGTGTCGATCCAGTAGAGACCCTAGGCAGCAGGATGCGTGAATGCTGCTGCTGCTGCTGCTGCTGCTCATAATTAACATCCACACACCTGCAGTTTGTCTAATTCGAATGCTATTCATAAGCCACACACATCACAGATACACACACACACACACATTTACACATTTATATACATAAAAGATATCCTTGCAAGCCGCAGGATAGTTTGGCACAAGCTTTCCTCAGTCTCACCCTCAACCTCACGCTTCCTATCTAAAGCCTCCCCACCTCTGGCTGGAAAACTTTTTACTAATTTACATTCATTACACACATTTGCAATAAAACTAGAAACACTCACTCACACTCAGTCACACACGCAAGCGCATAGACACATATACACATAAGAATAGATTTACACTGAGAAAAACAAGGAACAGATGAGCCAAGATTTAGAGAGAAACTGGGAATTGGAAACGAAGCGAAGGGTAAGGTAAGGAATATTTGGCCAAAGAAGACTCGGAATGATCGGAACGGATATTGGAAGCATTTTAATTGAGGTTGAGGCTAATGGAACAACCCTGAATCAATCAAATGTATCCACTTTAAGGGAGCTACCATGTCTCATTTGGAAATTCGGATTCTCATTCGCATGGTAAATGAAACTCCTCTTTCTGATGTTATTCAGTGATGTTGTTGCCACTTGATATTTGTATGTTTCAAGTTTGTCAAGTTACAAATTTTCTCGCAGTGTACATAGCAGTGGATGAGTGTGCACACTCACAAAATCTACACGCATTGATATTCTACATGCTTCATTAGCGTGTAAGCGCGGTAATAATGAAATTTCCTTATGGCTGCATTTCCAGCTTCTACTCATGGATGGGGGATGGGCGTTTTGGGCGTGTGGCGTCCTGGGGGGGGCAACTGCTGCTGCATATTGATGCAAAGTTTTAGTGGCGCAAAACTTGGGGCAATGTTCGGCAACACACCCCCGAAAATGTCTCTGGCCGCAATTTATGTTGCTTCTGGCATTCAAGAAACTGTTTAAAGCGCTGTGTGGAAGGTGCAACATCTGAGGACTTCCGCTGCTGCGGCGCTGTCTGCCTGCCTTTCTGCTGATTGCCCCCGTAAAAGAGGCACACAGAGACACACACACACACAGACAATCGAAATTGTTCATCATTTTGACAATCAAATCAGCAGAAGAAGACAAACACAAGACAAACATAAAGCAAATCTATACAAATTTGTCAGAAGTCAGTCAAAAAATGAGCAGCGGAAATGATGGCAGAGCGCCGGCGGAAACGAGGACCCAGCAACCAGGGGGCGGGTACTACTGAGCACTGCACAGCTGATGCCCTGCCACATGACCTCCGCCATCCAACATCAGACATTTGCCTGACTGCCTGCCTGCCAGCCTGCCTGCTGTGCTACGGGAAGAAATTAAAATTGCATTACGGGGCAGAGCAAGAGCCTGAGGATGGAGCTGCCGCTGCTGCTGCTGCTGCTGCTGCTGCTGCTGGGTTTCGTATCGGATTGGATAGGGTTTGCTTTGCTCATGTGTTTGGCTGGCTGTTCCATAAATATTTCAATATTTGTGCACATTTGAAGCTGCTTAGGCCACGCCCGAAATGCCAAGCTTAAGCCAGCAGGCGTGGGAGTGGGTTTGGGTGGGCAGAGGCAGGGGCCGGTTGTAGCAGGAAATAGTTTAATTAAAATTCCTTAGGCAATGTCATTAAGGACATTACATTTTGTAGCTGCTCCAGCTCCAGCTACTGTTTCTCCTCAAGGTGTGTATTATGGAGAGGCCTGCAAGGATGAGTTAACATTTCAATAAGGAAAGGACAGCATCCGAAGCACCCAAGGACCCAACGGAATTTCATTGTTTTCGCATGCAAATTTGCATTTGCAAAGCTGGCGAAAAGTCACAAAACAAAAGCTAAATAGAGAGATCCTTTAAAGAGGCCATAACAACATGTAAATGCCCGTCAACACGCCCCATCGATGGTATTTCTAAAAGAATCACCCACCGCCACCTCATCCTGGTCTTGGTCGTGGTCCTGATGCTCCCATAACGATGATGAAAGGCGAAACTGAAAAACAAGAGCATAAAACCTACAAGGTTCGCAGCACCAACAAATATATACACAATGCATATAAAAAAAGCGAATAAAAAAAAGGGAAGAAACAGAAAGGAAAACAGGAACAAAGACCAAAAAGAAAATGGCCAGGGAAAACAACAAGATTAAAATGAAAACAATCATGACAATCAGAGGACCGCAAATGTCAAATTAAATTATCAATAAATTGTCACCAAGGAGTGGAGCTCCATGCCGAACGCAAAATCGTCATCCTTGTGCCTGCCAGGACCGCAGGACAGAACATCCATCCAATACCATACCATTCCACTCCATGCCAGCCCATTCCACCACCCCCAGGCATCGATGAGGGGGCGTTTTGTGGCACATAATGAAATCATTTACAAAATGAAAACAACAGAAGTGGCAGCAGCACCAGCAGCAGCAGCAGCAGCAGCAGCATCGACCATTGGGAGATGGACAGCCACAGAG